AAAAGTATAATTATACCAGGAATATCAGGACCACTGTCGTAATCATTTTGGGTATCCCATAATGTTATTGGAATGTTCCCACACGCCGAGCGCAGCTGCATAATTACTTTTCTTTGGAAATTTCTCTTGTTCAAAACTAGTATTTCACGAAGTTACTGAATTCCATCTTTTGTGAAAGACTTGTTTCGAGACCGAGCACACATAGACTGTTCTGTTGCTCGGACGTAGTGCTAATAAATAAAAATGTTTGACGGTTTGGAAAGTTCATAATGTAGTGAACCATTATGAAGTCGGGGAGGAGGAATATGAGGAAGGTAGGTATTCATTTTTTCAAAACACAAACTGCTTTTTCATATGCTCAATATGTAACTCATAATCAACATGTGTCTTTTAATATTCAAAGAGAAAAAGAGAAAAAAAAAATCAAATTGACCAGCTCTTGGAAAAGAAATGCACCGAATTCAAAACATGTTTTAATAAAGCTGAGAGCAGGAAAGGTGAATGACGACAGTGTCTTACTGCACGACTTCACTTCTAGCAAATGATATTAGCAACCTTAATAGCTTCAAGTTCATTCGCTTAGTGACTACTATCGGGTTCGATACTTGTTCTCACTTTGCCCCAAAATCCTCACGGCAGTCAAACACTGGCATAAGAACCAATTCCAGAACAACAATCTTTACCACAGAAATACCAGTCACCTCAGTCAAAAATGAAAACTCCTTCCTTACTCATTCTCAGACGAGGCACATGGAAGTAACCTGACTGGAAACACGTACCAGTACAGTAACCAGACTGTCGATGTGCCTTTTTGAAGCGTTGTCTAGAAGCAAGCTGATGGAGGTTTTGAATCATTGCGATACACCAGTATCAGTACATCGAAACTAGTACCAGTACATGCGACACATCGAAACAAATGGAAATTTCATATAAGAATTGATTGCCCTACCTGCTGAGTCGTTCCCTTGATCTCCAGAACAAAAAAATCACTCCTTGCCACTGCATCACGCATTGCACCACATACGCACAGACAAACGTTCTTATGGGATTACTTCATCTCACTCTTTCATCAGAAAACATTCCGTCTTATCAGCTGTGCTTTCATGAAACTTATAAGAATACCTTGTTTCATCATTTAATATTGAAGAATTGGCCAAGTCAATATGTTCGATATTATGCATCCAGCTGGTGAGATCCGTGGAGCACTGATCCACTCGAGTCTGTACAATACTCGGGCATCCTTGTACATCGCTGATTCTTCTCAAAAATCCGCTCGGCGGTGGCCTGGTGGACCCAGTGGACGGATCAGAGCGCAGCAAAGGAGAAATTGAGATGGATAATTTCTCGCTTGGGGCTACAGTAGCAATTTGATCAAACGGATCCTCGACGGTTTCCTCAGCAGTACCCGTACG